ATAAATCAATGGTGCTAAATTTCATACGACACCCAATTCTAAACCGAAACCATAAAGAAAACACAGAAATAACTTACTATCAACACTGCTTTCACTTCTGGGACATCGTCCGAATCTTTCTTTTTCACCTCTGTCGTATATATCGTCATTGTGTTTCGTTATAAGTGCTTTTTCGGTCGATTATAGCCGTACCAGTCTCGCAAAATGGACGGCCAATTATTTTGTTGAGACGAGAAATGACGTATATCATTTGCATAATGTTTTCATGTGCCACTTCCTGTAATAGCGGGCGCTCTTTAGTAAACACTATTAGATTGCCAATGTGAATACGTTTTGAATACTTCCTTTATTAAACTGAAAATAACCCTTTATGGAGTCATCTCTTCTTGGTCATCATTACAGGAAAATGATGAGCAAGCGATGTAAAATCCTTATTTGAGAAAAAGGGTTATATACACGTATAGATGCACTGAACACTTGCTGAAATAAAGCTTTCATTTCAATAGCAACTGCCCTATATATCAAATGAAAACTTCCTTGTGGGTGACTCGGAAATCAACATTGTTATGTCATATACGTATTTAAAATTACATATTTGTCAATACAATGTAGTAGGAAAATTCCAACAGAAAAAAAAATCTAAAAGTGAAATACATGTATTAGATATTAATATTAGTTAAACAAATAATTGTCTACGACAGGGAAAAAAAACAATAATTTATATGAAAATATGTCATTAAACTATTCAGTTACAAATTTAATTTCAAATTACAACTTTAATTTTGCAAACAACCTTTAAGAGTTTATGGGATATCATCTAACATAGCCACTCATGCAGAGTTGGACAGGTATCATTGTTGCGGTTTGCATCAATTTAATGAAATTATACTGTAAAATAAAGTCTCAAAAGACTGAGACCCAACACTGATGAAGGCACTTTTTGTTTTTGGCATAAAAAGTATGAAATTATTCAAACTATGGACATTGAATTAGTTTAACAAAATTTAGAATTTCTATCCGTAATATGCCAATTGAAATTCCAGGATACTAGTATTACATCAATATTCAAGTTGAGTAAAGACCGTATAACTTGTGTAACAACGGGAAAGTTGGTGATAAGCTCTACATATTTGATTGTCAAAATTACTTATTTTGATTTTGCTATTTTTTTTTCCTCAAAATATTAACAACTAGCATTGGTATTTCATTAAGTTTTCATTACTCATAACTGAAGTTATGCTTGGTGGTTATCCAATACATTTTCAAATGGAGTTGTACATCTTCACAATTCTAGGTAAATAAGTAGTGTGTGATTTCTATCATTGTAATTGATCGCATCGATGTAATACTCAAAATATTAACTTTAGAGAATGCGTTAACACGAAACTTGGTCAACAGTGTCCGTAGTTATAGAATATTATGACATTGTGTTCAAGATTTCTCTCATTATTTGAGCAATATACAGGTGTGCATTCTCTATATTTTTTTTTCTTTTTCCCCTATTATTAGGGACTATTAATGGAGCGTGGGATGTTTGTACTATAACCTGTGGTGATGGTACTCAAACTAAGTTGTGTGCTACACCACCATGCCCGATTCGATCATGTATGACAATCGATTGTCCGCTTGAGATAGGTAAGTGATTGCCTAATGTGTACAACAGTCGTTGTGAATTGTTTTAAAACTAATATTTCGTCTATCATTATAGCGTTTATTGCCTGTCGTCAACGAAGACGTCGTTTTGAGCGGTTACTGTGGTTGTATGTACGAATGTTGGGTGTTTATATATTGATATGTACTCGTGTTAATTTCGAGCTTGTCGAATATATTACTCATAGTGGTTGTCATGATATTAACTGCTATTGTCTATATACCACCTGACAAATCTACCAAATGTCTTTTATATCTATATACATTGCTGACAAGTAGTGAGTACATTTCTTGCATACATTTGTATAGGTATACAATAGTACAGAAAATGTTGTATATGAATATGCTTTTTTTTTTACAGATTATAAGCACGTAGGATGCTGGAAAAAAACAACTCAAGTCACGTTATTAGAAGGAAGCGGTAATCCATATCTGGATCCTACTGATAAAGTCAGGGTGAGTATAAACTATATATACTATATATATATATTTATTGTTATTATCTTTTCTAAGGTCTATG